CCCGGGGTGGGAGTGGTGGCAGTACTCAGGTTGAGGGGCAGCCCTGGGGAGCCAGGTGACGGGGAGCAGTGGGGCTCATGAAGTGCCTTCTCTTCCCATGCAGGTCACCTTGACAGGAATTGTCTTTCTGGCTCCTGCACAAGCTTTCCCGGCATGGCATGCCTGCTGAAGTTCCCTTTGGTTCTTGCTTTATGCCCTCTGGCCCAAGGACTTAGGTACTACTTAGCTTTCCTGACACTTTCTTCTGCTTTTCTCCTGGAGAAAGGCTGTGCCCCTCTGTAAAATTTCTCCTGAGAGGAAATGAGGGAGGAAAAGGCTCCAGATGCCTTAGATCTTTGAGCAAGCATTTTATGGCCTCCAGAATGTGAACTTGCTTGTGTAAGCTGCTTCCTCCCTCACATTTTCTTTGGAATAAGAATGAATTATAATGTAACAAATAACAATGGTATTACACTTGATTTTACCAGTGATCCAGGCCTCCAAAAACCTCTTGGAGTAGAAATCCTCTTTGAGCTGCAACTGTAGCCTTTTGGGCTCCTTGGGATATACACCTTATCCTCAATGTGTTCTTTCTTTTTAGTTTGGAACACTAGTGAGTCTGAAATTATCACGTTGGTTACTGATAATTGTTATTGATGGGTTTGTGAAAAGAAATAATCATGAAAGTGTTGGCATTTTGGAAGATATCCATCTATATGCATATAAGGGTTGTTGTCATGGGCCATAAGGTATTGGCTGCTGCATTTTTTGCCTGACATAGGAAAATCATGAAACTTTACAGAAGATGCATACATGTAAGAGTATTTACAAGAAATTAAGACCTTCCTTTCAAAAAGGCTACAGTAGTTTTAAAGAGTAAATAAAAAGAGATAACTTTAAAACTTAGAATTGCTGAGCCTAATACGTGCTAATAGTAGCATATTAGAGTGATATACAAGTTTTGCATAAGAATTAAAAACCTTTTTTAGGTAGTCTTTAAGGATAGCTGTCTTTCTTCTCTGTTTTAGGATTAACATTTGGGATGATTTGCTAACTCTCCACACCTCCCAGGGGCTGCTGGCAATTCAGAGGCCAATTCCAGAAAGTGGCATCTACCAAGCCAACACCATGCGCCAGCTGAGTTATATTAACTCACTCAACTTCACCGCAGCCTGTACAGTCAGCATTGCCACAGTTTTAAAATAAAGAAATAGGGCTGAGAGAGTAGGCCCAGCAAGTGCCCAAATTCTTCCCTGAGCTGTGCGGGGAGCACTGGGCCTCAGGTACTGATCTCCTGGGCACCCCATGATCTTGTTTCATTTGCAGTGACTTCCTGGACACATTTCCTTGTGGTCTTTTCTCCAGTTCCATGATAGTAATGAGCTTTCAAAAATCAGTTTTACTTCATTCTTAATGCACATCAAGAGTATGAAACTGAACTGAGGAGAAATTACTTCTTTCAAAGAACCAGTCAAGATCTTACATTAATGCATTATAAAATGTTATTTTGTAATCAAGTTAGTTTGGGGAGTACAGAATTAAAACCAGCGTGCCAGGATTCTGAGCACAGGAGGGTCTTCAGTACACCGGTGTGCACGCTGAAGCCCTACGGGAAGGAGGCCACCCACATCATTGCACAGACTCTCAAGAGCCGGCGTGTGCTCACTCATCCTTGTATTCTGGTAGCACACTTCAAAGGCGCTCATGTTCCATGGAAGTACCCATATTGGTAGTTTTTGATTGGTGCATATTTGTAGTGTGTAACATGGGCAAAGCATGTTACCTCTTTTAGCAAATTTTCCATGGTCCAAGTTGGACTAATGGTCTCTTTGGCTTTAAAAATTCTATAATATAGCAGGATAGCTTGGATAATTGTACTGTGATTTCTGCTGGTCTTTTGAAAGGAGCAATTAAGGCTTACATTTTTTTCTTTTTAATTTCTTATAACATTTTTGTTATTACTTTTTAACCAATTTTGCAGATTTATATCTGATAAACAATTAACTCGAAGATAGCATCATGCAATACAGCAGCCATTGTTGGATTCCTATTACTCTGCTTAATGAAATTTTATATCATTTCTAATGCTTTTTTTTTACTATTTTATATTCTTTAACAAATAATAAGTAAAAAATTCTATGATATGGAATTCCCAGGTTAAGGAACATACGCTACCATATGAACTTGCCATGGACAGACAATGGTTTTCTGAAAACCATTCATTTGTGAACCATTGCGTGATTACCAAGCACTAAGCTAGGTTCTGAGGCTATCAAGAAAAGATGCATGTAAGCTGACAAATAAGACATACTGTCTACCATATGGATTAGAATTATTATTAATGAATTATCTTTATTATTTATTTATTTATTTTATTTATTTTGGTGGAACTGGCGATTGAACTCAGGCTCTTGCACTTGCCAGGCAAGCGTTTATCCTACTGAGCTATCTCCCCAGCCCCTGGGTTATCTTTAAAAATACAGTGAGAGCAGCAAATATGCATGGATGATACACATATAACTGATTATTATAAAGAAAGAAAAACTCAGTAAGAGGGAAGTGGAGGCATAAGTAATAAAGACTCATGGAGGAATTGCCTCCTCTAGGTGGCAGTTAAGAAAGCCTTCTGGAGGAAGGACTCTAAATCTGGTCTCAGGGGATGGGTGGGCATCAGACAAAGGGAAGGTGCTCCAGGCAGACAGAGATAGAAGAACAAAAAGAATATACAGGATTGAAGCAGCATGGTGTGTATAATGATCAATAAGGGATTGGCATTGCTCCATTAGAAAGTCCTAGGCAGGAAGGCCAAGCGTAGTATAGTAGCAAGCAGACTAGTTGTTGAGGTTTTTCTTTGTAGATGCTTGAACTTTATTGGGCAGTATGCTCGACAACCAGCAGGAGATATAACTGGGGAAGTGATCCACTCACAGAGGCACCTTCTACAGCTGCGGAGCAAACAGAGACTAAGAGGAAAGAGAGGCAAGGAGGTAAATTGGGAGGTGTCTACTGACATTCAAAGGATAATGAATCCTTAAGCCAAGAGGATAGGAACTTGGTGGAAAGGATGGATTTGATAAACATTTAGTAGACATGACCTGCTCAGTCTGGTGGTTAAATGAGGCAGGCAAAAGAAAGATCGTCACTTGTTTCTTTGGATGATTTAGTGAATGACATCTGTATGAGGGGCTACTTTATAAAAAAAAATGATACAATGTAACCAGTGTTGGATCTGCAGCATGTAGGGTCTCTCTAAGACATTGTCAGTACCTTAAAATTTGGAGTTGCTGTAACACAACCTCTTCCTGTGCATCAGACTCAAATGGAGGTTTCAAATGAATGAGGAAAGGACTCACATTTATGGGCCACTTCATAGTGATGCTTACTTGATTTAGGCTGCTGGAATATTGCAAACACATAGAACTGCCATTATTATATTATTATTATTGTTAGTGGTGCTGGGAATTGAACCTAGAGTCTTATGCATCCTAGGCAAGTGGCAATTTTACTTTTAATATAAATACTCAAAAACATAGTAATTTTAGTTTAATTTTATTTAACCATAGTATTATGAGGCAGGTAACAGATTGTGTCTATACTTGTTGGTTTAAGTCTAGTTGAAGTAGGAACGTTTATTATTGAAAAAAAGCTACACAACAATTAGCTTACCAATTTTTCTAGCAGAACAAAATATCATTTAAACATTTTCTTAAAAAAATAAAAATAAAAAAAATAAAGGTCTTCTTTCCAAATCATTAAAATTGATTTGGTGAATTAAAAAGATTATAAATCTGCTCTTAACTTCATGCATGCCAAGTGTTCAATGGTCTATAATACCGAAACCAGGTTATTCATCCACACTTGCCCAGCTGTCAGGGTAAACTGAACCATTTTAAGTGCTTTTTCTCATTTCTTTCCCAATGCACTACTATCAGTTGATTAAATTATTTAAGGATCTTTTGATCTTTTGTAAGGGTTAGAGATACGGGACATATAAAACTAGGCCCACATATTACTCATGGGAGGTTTATGTAAGCAGGAGATACGGCCCAATTTTGCAGCTCTATCAGCAAATGGGTCTAGATGTAAGGGAAGCAGGTGATAGGGGAGTTAAGCGGGGAGGAAATAAGGAAGGATGAAGAGTAGAAATAAAAGCAAGGGAGACCATCTCTTACCAGGTTCTTGCTGTATTTCATGGTGGTTTTTAAACCAAGTAATCTGGGGTTCCGGGACACCACCAGCGTGACAGTCTAATGTGGTGGAGCCGCTGATGGCCACCGTGTGATCACTGAGGTTCTGCAGGAGGTGTGGTGCTTCCTGACCTGGTGAAGAGAGAGAGTGAGCTGTGGTTACTCATCAACTTTGTGTCCTTGTATACGCATGTCAACATTTTAAATATATATATATATATATAGCAAAATGTCACCAATGGCTTGATTTGCATTTTGGTCCCCAACTTACACTTCAGTAGCTACCCTACTGCTTCCTCTTTAATGATGCTGCAATAAAGTGAAATGTGCTAGAATGCAGAGAGGTCAGGGAGAAGATTCTACACTTTCACATTTTAGTACAAAGGTTTTTACTTGGCCTAGTAGTATCCTGTCCTGTCTTTTCCTTTTCCTATTCTCTTTCCCTTCCCCTTCCTTTCTTTTCATTTCTTTCTTTCTTGAGAAAAGCTTTTATGAAAGACAAAGATTTTGTTTTATATTCTGGGAGCTATAAATTATATAGGCTTGAAACGAATGTTTGTGTTAACATATTGTGCAGTGATGGGCTAATAAAATCTTATGAGGTTTCATTTCTTTCTCTTTCTTTTTTTTTTTTTTTTTCAGGACTGGGATCAGACTTGCACGTGCTAAGCAAGTGCTTACTCTACCACCGAGTCACATTCCCAGCGGGATTTCTCCTGCATTTATCCATGTCAGTGAGGGTGCATCTATATCACGCTGTAACCTAAATTGTAAGGCAGCAGACCAAACAGAAGAATTCTTGAATTTTGAAAGCTTTATTGATTGTTCCCTTCCTCCAAACCCTTCCCCAGTGCAAGCAACCAAGGGATTAATTCAAGAGGCAGAGGCATGGATTTATAGGTTTTGCACTATATAATAGTACAAATATTGTATTTTATATTATTTTCTCTTAAAACATACAAATATATAATACAATACAATTTATTCCAATAAAATGCCAACCAATATAGTACAACAAAATGAATTTCATACATTAAGATGCAATACATTACAACAATAAAATCTCACATAGGAACAGCAGTACCCCCACAGCCCCCAAACGAGCACAGTGTTTCTATTTAATGAAGTAGTCAGTCAGTCCTGCTGATGTGTATACATTCTAGTTAGGTGGGCACTGGATGGGTAGCTCAGGCTTCCAATGGAAAAGAATAAAAGTGACTCCTAATATCTTTTAACTCTCCCAAATCATCCCCTTTCCTTCTTGTTACAAATCCTGAAACAGAAATCAAAAGTCTTGGCAAAACTCACACACTCTGCACCACCAGTTTCATTTATACAATTCGAGCTTTCTCTGGCCATGTTTTATTTCCTCAGCTCAGTGTCTTAGCACTGTGAAAGCAGCTTAGGAGTGGTTACAATGCCACAGAAGAGGACTCAGTGCAGTGGCTTTGACTCCATGTTCCTCTAGGATTCTGCTGAGTCCCCAAACCTTTCTCTATTTCTGCAGGAAAACTCTCAGGATTAGCATTCATTAAAGCCATTTAGATATCCCAGGTTAAAAAAAAATATGTTATCATATAATTTTTATAATATGTTGAAGGAGTATAATGTGGCAGGATTACAATCAAGAGATTTCTCAGTAAATTTTGATTTCCATAGTTGATTATTAGCTTCTCATCTTATATAAAATGAAATCTAAAGGCAAAAGTATGAAAGGAGGGCTTTGATGTATAAAATCTTCTTCAAACATAGTGTGGATTAAATGACAGCAATGACCCCCCCCCCCTGCCGCATTTGGAATCTCTGTCCTGTCCTACCGTCCCCTGCAGGCAGGCCCTTCCCAGGTTTCTGTTTGGCATTCTCTGCAACCTATCATACAGCTTTTCCTAATTGAAAATACAGCCCCATAAGCCTTCAGTTCATAGCTTGTTCTCACTGGCTCATTAGAATTTTGATGTTTTAAGGCTGTAAAGCCCCCAAGTATATCAGCGCAACATGACAAGATGATGAAGAACAGCATCCTAGCACTGTTCTGTGTCTCTAGCAGTGGCAAGCCAACTACGGCATCTTATTTAGCACTTAGAGCCAGCTCACTCAGTTACATTCTCAAGAGCCTCTTCTAGCACATTTTACTGTTTTCAGTGTATTAAATATGATAAAAATCTACTATCACATAGTCCTTATAGAAAGGAAGTTGAATAGAGGGACCCCCAACACTCAAATTATTTTCATATCTATAATCCAAAACATCAACATAGACAGGATTTGGACTTCCCTGACAGGTGTTCAGAAAACAATGCTTATGTAGAAAAGAACATTTTATTTTAACATAAATATCATAAAGAACTCCCAGAGGCCCTATTTGTACTACAGAGACTTCAGACAAGCAGCAGAAAAAAAAAAAAAAAAAAAAAAGCTGCAGAACAAACATGGAACTCTCAAATACAGAGTTCATATAAACTTTCTGAAATTTTCAGTATTAGGATTTATTTTTGACAAATGTTCTTCTATGTTAAGTGTCTTGTTTTTGTGTACATTTCAATTGCTTAACTTCTTAATGAATTCTTATATTTTGTTACTTTCTACATTGAAATAATCTATTTTGACATTTTAAGTAAGAACAGTATGTTGAACCCATACATACTGATGGAAGTAGACACCTGCTCCCTAAATTTAATAAGCATAGCTGATCCCTTCAGAATTAATGGAATATTTCCAGTGGTTATATGCTCCCTTCAGAAAATCAGAATTAATGGAATATTTCTACTGGTTCTAAGTAGCCAAAGATAGCTGCCCACCAAGTTCTTGTTTTCCTTTCTAGCATTTTGGCCTCAGAGATCTTCTAAGTCCCATAAATACACAGCTCATTTTCTTTATCTGGAGTAGGGGTTGAGGAACCAGCCACACACCCCTGCTTCAATTATTCTTTACTGTAGCCTGTTTCGTTCTGTTTCTTCTCCTCTCTTCTTGTTTATTCTCACCTCACTTCATACCACAAAGAATCTCTAATAAGAAGCAAAACTCACACAATAGTTTCTTTAAAAAAAACCTTCTGAAAGAGTTAATTACATAATAAACAATTACTCTGAACAATTCTTAAAAATACTAATACCTTTCCCCCAGAAAAATTGCAACAAGGGGAAGGAAACAGTAGGCTCTACATGTCCAATGCATCTTTTTTTTTTTTCATAAGAAACTTCCAAATCATTCCATTTGGTTTCTTAGCTTTTGTAAAATCCAAGGCCTCCGAGCTCTGTGGCACCGAAGCACTGTTTCCTGAAGGAACACTCTAACTTATAAAGAACAAAGAGGCCAGGCCAAGGAGCCATAGGTAAAATTTCAAGATACAATTGATTATTCTTTCCTTTGGGCTGACAACTTCCAGGTTGTCAATTGTTTTCTGAGCATTTGGGGCTCCATAAAACTGGCATTCTGGGGAAATGCTATTGTTTACTCTTTCACACTTGACAAAAGCAATTCCCATGTGAAAGACAAGTTTAGCCTTGGGACAGAGTCTGCTACCTAGAGGAGGAAACAGGCTGGTGTGTTCCCAAGCTTAAAAAGTCACCATACTGTCACCTGCTATTGAGCTGCCCAGCCACTGTGCTTCTCAGCCATGGTTATTTTGGTCATTAATAATAACTTTTCTCCCCCTATATTCCACTCAAGTCACTTTTAATGATCAGTCATAAATGAAAAGAAAACAATGCTTATTAAATTGATGAAAAAGTCACTTTCCTCTTAAACTCAACCTTAAACCAAAGAGATTAGACTCTCTTGATTTAAAAAAAGTGACATATATTTTTAAGTGACTTTCATTCTTCTAGTTTTACCATTTCCTATTCCCCATAAAAATCCTATTAATATTTGCATAGGAGTAAAGAGGACTTTTTAAAGACATATTTTCAATTTACATTTAGAAAAATGCATTAGACATCTAATCACAGTAACCTTTATTTCCTTGACAAAGTGATTATGGACCACCTCTAAGAGCCATCATTTTAACATGATAAATTTCTTTTGAAAATTAACCAGGGGATACAGATGTAAAAATAAAGGTATGATGCACTTTTAGGTGCTATCCGTGGCCATCTGGGCCAGTAAGGGCAGTGAGGAAGAGAGTGGAGAGCTGCCGGACTTAGCAGCTAATGACAGAGCTACCCAGAATTAGACAAGAGAGGAAGGTGGCGTTGGTTTGTGTGAGCTTTTATAATTCACATAGAGACAGAGCTTTGTTCTTTTTAAATTACACCAACAATCTTGCACCCCTGGGGCCCATTTTAGAAACTCCAGTTTAAGATCAGTATGCTTCATGTTAAAAAAAAAAAAAAAAAGGAGGCATTTTCAAATAAATAAGCATTATTACTTGCTATCCAGGTGCTATTTACAAATCAAGAGCAGATGAAATTGTACAACATAAAACCAGGCAGAAGTCCAACAGAGTCTCAAATTCAACTGTACTCATTCTGAGCTAGAAAATTAACTTATTCGTGTCCATCTTTGGCAGAAACGAGCCTTTATTTAAATTATTCAGTTTGTGCAGCTTCACAATTTAAAAATAAAAAGAGGTTGGCATCAAAGAAAAGGATCAGTCCCAAGTTGCTGTTTATCAGGCAGGAGAAGACAGCAAGAGCAAAACACAGAGAAGGCAGTGCAGGGATCCTCCAAATCCAGACTTGCACCATGGCGCCCTGGGGAGCAGAAGCCCCCGCCTGAACGGGGAGCCCCAAGCAGGCACTGGGGCGTCTCATTATTACTCCTAGCATCTCCGAACTCACTTTGGGAGGAGCATCTCCTCTGAGCCTGAAAGTCAGCAACAGTGACAATAAATCAAGGTGATAGGAGACAACTGCTACTTTTTAATGAGTCCTTTAATGTTTTACATTACGTTTTGTGGTACAATCATTCCTTGATCTTTTAAATTTGGAAATCCGAGAGAAAACAGCCTTTTTGTTGCAGTGCTCACCTCTAATTGTAACTTCTGTCTTCTGAAGCCTTTCTTCCCCTGTGTATACATTCCTGGCTCTGCAGGCATAGGTGCCCGAATCTTCCAGAGATACATTCTTGATGATAAGGTTCAGAGTGGTGGAGTGCTTGCCAGTGACGGCCATTTTTTGCTTCCTGATACTGTGATATATTGTTTTGTTATTAACTGTCCGTAGCAAAATCCAAGTAATGTCTCTGTATAAGAATTTGTTAACTGTGCAAGACAGTTTCAGGTCCTCTCCTTCGGCAGGCATTTTCTCCAAGTTAACACGAAACCCATTTGGCACATCTGCAAAATAAGAATGAAGAGCTTCAGTATAAGTCTTGTAGTGAGACCGTAAGAGATCCGGATGCAAATTCCCTTAGCACCGGCATTAAGCAGGGCATTCATCTTTTTGTTTTAGAGGAACTGATGAAGCATAAGAGAGGATCCAGCATGCTGATCCCATCAGAAGTGGGTGAAGAGCCAGGGGTGGGAATGCACGCCTGTAATCCCAGCACTCAGGATTCTGAGGCGGTAGGATTGTTGTGAGTGTGAGGCCGGCCTGGGCTACGCAGTGAGACCCAGGCTACTCCCCACCCCTAAAAAAGTGTGATGAGAAATGAAAAATGGGAGTTACTTGGGGTTTTTTGTTGTGGTTGTGGTTTTATTTTTCTTTTCTTTGTGTGTGTATTTTACTAAGGGTCTACCGCGTTTACACGATCTCACTACATAGATCAGAATCATAGTAATCAGCCTGTGTTCAGTCTCCCACAAGCTGGGGTTCAGTTGCATGCCACCACGCCCAGTCTTAATTCGCCATCTCAGCGCGCCCCCAGGGATGGGGCCTGTGTGGCAGGCCAGGGATTGAACCCTGGCCGCTGTGTCTATTTTTCTCTTTTTGAGACAGGGTTTTGCTATGCAATTCAGGCTGGCCTTGAATTCAGTATGTATCCAAACTCACAGAGATCATCTTGCCTTGGCCTCCCTCAAGTGCTGGGATTACAGGTATGTGTCACCACACCCAACAACAGGCGAGTGATTTTTTAATGTACTCTTTCAGTATTTTCCCAGAGTTTCTCTTCTCAATGGAAAAGTTTTTTTTCCACCTTGTTTCCCAGTTGCTTTTCACATATGGGCCTCCTCTTGGTAAATGGACATTTGACTTGAACAAAATAATGAATTGAAATAAGAACGGTCTGTACTAAAAAACAATCCACGTGTACATGTATGCAAGGGCAGACATGTCCAAGACAGCCTACAAGTAAGTGTGGGAAGTTGGAGGTTCACACTGGTCAGCACCATTTTAGTGCTACCCTGTCCTGCCAAGCAGCAGCTGCTCCACAGGCCCTTGGTTGAGGCTAGAGTGGGCCCCTGCTTTTCGCTGGCATAAGAGGCCAGAGGACCCAGGTTACTTGTTCAGCCTACCTGTTATGGTGATTATTCTACTTAGATATAAGACAACAAATGGGCAGGCCGTTGTGCTCATACAGGTAGTCGCCACACTCTGGGAGACTGAGGCAGGATGAAGCGCATTTGAGCCCAGTCTGGGCAACTAAGTGACTTAGTAAGACCCTTTCTCAAAAGTTAAAAAAAAAGAAAAAAAATTAGAGGGCTGAGGAGGTAGCTCACTGTGAAGATTTTTGGGATCGGTCCCTAGTACCATTCCTCCAAAAAAAGCAAAAATTTCCTCTGAAAACACAGGCAGCTAATTAAGAAGAGTTGTCCGTTTCCCAAAATTGCAAAATATATATATA